ATGTTCAAACTTGGTGTATGTGTTTATTAGGTCAATGCCTTGATGGAATTCGAAGATGAGCATTTTCCGCTTAGGGTAAGCAGAGATAAGCAATTTGATTGGTTGATGCTTTGGGACACGATAACTTTTAATTGAGCTAGAATGTTCAAACTTGGTGTATGTGTTTATTAGGTCAATGCCTTGATGGAGTTCGAAGATGAGCATTTTCCGCTTAGGGTAAGCAGAGATAAGCAATTTGATTGGTTGATGCTTTGGGACACGATAACTCTCTTCCTAATTGGGCTAGAATGTTCAAACTTGGTGTATGTGTTGATTAGGTCAATGCCTTGATGGAGTTCGAAGATGAGCATTTTCCGCTTAGGGTAAGCAGAGATAAGCAATTTGATTGGTTGATACTTTGGGGCTCGATAACTCTCTTCCTAATTGAGCTAGAATGTTCAAACTTGGTGTATGTGTTGATTAGGTCAATGCCTTGATGGAGTTCGAAGATGAGCATTTTCCGCTTAGGGTAAGCAGAGATAAGCAATTTGATTGGTTGATGCTTTGGGACACGATAACTTTAGTTCTAATTAAGTGAGATTGATGAAACTTGGTGTATAGTTTCATTACAGTAATACCTTGACTAAGTTTGATTGAGCATTTTCTGCTCAGGGTAAGCAGAGCGATACGCAATTTGATTGGTCGAGACTTTGGAAAACAATAACTCTCCTTCTTTGATTGTTAGACTATAAGTAAAGATATACTGTTTGATTGTTCAATACTTTGTAAAAGATAATTTGTGATAAATTTATATGTGTCCTCTAATTATTTTCCTATTTCGGCGGGGGACATCAGCCTCACTGTTGGCTTGTTAGAATTAAAGTTATTGTGTCCCAAAGCATCAACCAATCAAATTGCTTATCTCTGCTCACCCTAAGCAGAAAATGCTTATCTTCCATCATCTTCGAACTCCATCAAGGCATTGACCTAATAAACACCCACACCAAGTTTGAACATTCTAGCTCAATTAGAAGGAAAGTCATTGTGTCCCAAAATGTGACGGACAGACGGACGAACCTATTTTAATAGTCCCCTGCTTTCTTCAAAAGGCGGGGGACAATATAAATTGTCCACAATGTCCACAATAACGGAAAGTAAAATGGTTGCCACATATGTATCAGGGCTTTTGAAATGAAATTGAGTTTTATAGCACGTAAGCTCCAACCGGGATATATTGCGACAAACATATGGTGAATTTAACGAGACAAATTAAAAGAATATCACAGACATTTATATAATATGTAAATAAAAACAAAAGAATATTTAAAACCTAACGCATAATTAAAAAAAATACAATTAAAATTTATTATAAAAATTTGACTCGTTTAATAATGTTAGTATTTTATCATATAGCTTCGGTTGAGCAAACAGCTGACAACGGTAATATTTAGATCTAATATACTTGAAATGATTGCACTCATTCAAGATGTGGTTTACTGTCAAAGGAATGACAGTGAGCACATTCTGGTTGAGGCTCTGGCTTCCAAATGAAATGCAAGACCAATGCGAGAGCGACACAAAACAACTTCATCCCTCCTGCTGGTTCTATAGCATCTTCAATAGAAGGGGCTTAATCTCGCCTTAACTACGTACATCTTATCACTCTCTTCACGTAATACCCTCATATGTTGGCACTATTTTGGATTGGGTATAAGCCCAGCTTGTGATCCTATCAGATTCCTTTGTTAAAAATAGCGTTACGATTATCAAGTCTGAGGCTTATAGCTAAAATGTCTACTTGTGACATGTGCAAAGTTCAAGGTTCGGTCAATGTCAAGGTTGCTTGAAATCATACCTGATCAACAGAGGGTTTCTATGGAGGCCGCCATATTTGTTTACAGTGTGTTCTGTGCGACGACCCCCGATTGGACAATGTTAATTGATCACGTGTTAACACAACGAGCGCAAAATTTTCGGGAATTGCCCAGTACTGAAGCAACGGTTAGATGTTGTAAAACTCGCGATCGTTGCTTCATGAACATGGTTCTATAGGCTTGATGTGATGAAGTTTGTTTGTGCCTGCAAGATCCCAAGGCCGTTGCCAGCGGTCATACATAAAAAGGTTGATGGAAGGTTTAAAATTGGGGAAAGGTAAAAGAAATTGTGATATGGGAATATCTAAAGCCGACTTGGCAGCTAAGTCTGCTTGATCATTCCCTTTAATATCAACATGACTGGGGAGCCAGCAAAGGTCGGTGTCCTTTCCGTTAAACTCTTATGATAGTAATGGGTGTACAAGCTGTTAATTATTTATTATCTGTAAAGAGGACAAATAATCACTGAATATAATGTGTTTTATAAATGAAGGGGATTGAATAACTCCAAGGCCTGAAAGATTGGCCTTGAGCTCAGCAGTAAATATTGAAGCAGCCGATAGAAGTCTGACAGAAATGATTCCAGATAGTGTAACGGTAGCCGAAGCTGTCCCATCGCCATCTTTAGAACCATCTGTGTAAATAGGAACATAATCACCATATTTAGACCTTAACTTTCGAAAGAGAGACTGAACACCGTGGAACTAGTATCGTTCTTTTTTATTCTCGTTAGATCTTAATCGACCTTGGGAGTCGATGTAGTACAGGGTGGAGTACTAAACAAAGGGATATACGCAATACCCTCATGACTGATGCCAGCCTCTGACAAAAGGGGTGGATGCGAATACCGAATGGTGGAATAACGTTAGTTTTCAGTAAATACAGATATGGTCTAAATATGGTATTAAATGATATTTGATCAGGCAGAGATGCAATTTGTGTAGCATATTGCAGTGCCAGTTTATCACGTCTGTCGTGCAATAAGTGCTCGTGGGCCTCAACGTACAAACTGTGCACTGGAGATGTACGGAATGCTTCTAAACTGATTATAAGTCCTTGGTTGTGTATGGTGTCAAGCTCTTTGAGATAAGACTCGCGGGCCGACCCATACATAATGCACCCATAATCGAGTTTTGATCTTATTAAGGCTCGATATTATTTGGGCAAGACCTTGCGGTCACTGGGGCCTGGCTATTTTACTCATATACTTTGACATTGACCAATTTGATGTGAACCAATTAAATGATTTTAGAACTTTTTCCTGGGGAGATTTACATTCATAAGTAAAACAAGGGTTGTTGAGCACATTATGATCGGCGGGACGATTTACCCAAAACGACCCAATACCACTCCAATATAGAGAGAGAGAAATGGGGTGTTACGTCCACTCGACACAAACTAGGTCATTTCTGGACTAACATATGGTTTAATTTTATTTCAATAATTCGCTTGTGCGTAGGGGTCTTTAGCAGTGGGAGGAAACCGGAGGACCCGGAGAAAACCCACGAGGTTGGACAGGCGAGCCTACTCCTCGTCACGTACAACCGGGGATTCGAAACCACGCCAGTTGACTCAATGACAGACTTTATGATACAGCGCGCGCACGCTAACCATTCAGCCATCCACCCCCCCCCCACCCACTCCCACTCCACCCACTCCAATATCACCACATACTACCCAATACTACAACATAATCGTGCCTAATGAGCATATTACTTGATTTTTTTTTCAAAAATAGTGAGATATATCGTGGGAAATGTACTTCGAATGTGATTACCGATGTCTGGCTGTTCCATTTGCCTCCCTATATCACCCAACTCGAGCAAATAATAACCCAATACTACCAAATACTTATCAAATACTATCCAATATTATAAAATACAAACCTCATATCGTCAATTAGCAGCACATCAGTATAATAATTGCAACGAATATTCGATAATTTACATAAAATTAAAATATTTACGCAGTTATCTCCCTTTACAATCGACAAGTAGATCAGGTCTCAGACTAGCAATTATTTGCCCATTGACTTCAATGTTAAATGACTGTAACATCACAGGCTGTAGCTTTTTGCTCAACATTCCGTTGGTTCCAATCTTTATAGGCACAATGGGGACAACATTTGGCAATCTCCTCATCATAATTTTGTAGGGGGTTCACCGTTTAGATTTTTTGCTACACGGATTTGAAGTTGACAGGGGTGAAAATCTCACTTCCGACACAATGATTGCTCTGCAGAAAGACACTTTACACCCTCTATCCCTCCGCTGTAATATCATCAGTATTACCCAAAACTGCTATGAAATTGCAAATTTGATCCCTTTTCTTCAATTCTAGACCAAAAAGTCAACCCAAAAATGCAGGAAGAGGGGAGAAAAAAATTAAGGGAAAAATTCGTCCATCATGAAATAAGGGGAAATAATTACTAGTCTTAGTCCTATATACCTCACATGTTTCTGCAGTTTTAACAAATCTGTTGTTATCTAATAAACAAACATATATGCAATTCCCTGGTCAAAGAATATGAAAATCTATGCATTTTCAGATGAGCTGTGCGGCATTCTGCAAACACTATAATACATCAGAAAACTGCGGAATTTCAGACAGAAATTTAAAAGCACATGAATTTTGAATTAAACAGAACATTTTTATTTTTGAACATTCTGTAAAAAGATGAGATAAATTCAATATAAATCAAACACGAAAATACTTTAAAACAGTAATCATGATGCAATATTAGACTTTTTAACACTTTCATCGAAAACCACACAGTTTTTCTCTGTTAACGTAGTTTCAAGTGCCAAATTGTGGTCAAATCTAAAATGTTGAAACATGCAGTGCCTATCAATTTTAAAATATCTCCTATGTAGCTGTATTTCCATAGGATAAGTAAGTTGAAATAATCTGATTATGTAACACTACAACAGCTTTTTCATCCCCACCCCCCAGTTTGGAATCTGATAATTTAAAAGCACATGCATTTTTGAACATAAATGCATTCTTCAAAAAGATGAGATGAATTCAACATAAATCAAACACGAAAATACTTTAAAACAGTAATCATGATGCAATATTAGACTTTTAACACTTTCATCGAAAACCACACAGTTTTTCTCTGTTAACATAGTTTCAAGGATAAGTAAGTTGAAATAATCTGATTATGTAACACTACAACAGTTTTTTCATCCCCACCCCCCGGTATGGAATATGATACATTGCTGACCAATCATAGGTCGCCCCGTTCACTCGGGCCTGTCAAATGATTTACAATGGCGATGGTGCCTACAACTTTCCTGACCAAGAGATATGCACAACCGTCGATCAACACACAAGCCATTAATGTTATCTTCCAATATGAGAGGCCATGATAAACACACAAGCGTCCTTTTCAAGCTCGGAAATTAAGTCATCACCAAAAAGCAAAGTTTACAGAGGTCCTCGGGACTGGAACCCAAACTGATTACGATTTGCCCTCCACTTCCACCACAGGTGTCATAGAGATCAGGGATGAAATTGATATGCATCATCGTTCTCCTAAAGCCAGTCCAGGAAGAGATCAGGTTTTGAGATGTAGACCTGAAATGTTAAATTTGGATGAGAATGAGAATTCTGGGACGAATACTATCCAGGGAAATGGTCATTGACATCCAGAAAATGGTCAAAATGTGGAATTCTGTCATTCAGTTAAATGTCAAGGGGAGAAGACAGGCCTGTGCAGTACCAAATTTCCAGCCCATTACTATTAGTGAGCAGAAGTGGGGATGAGGTTGGATGTACTTCTTAAAGTGTATGAAATGCACATTTATCTCACCTGTTTTGCTTCTTTTTTTTTTTTTAATACTTGTGTTGAGGTCAATCATTCCACTCTATGAAACATTGCCCTGGCACCTGAAATGATAGGAGGCTGGGGATAAATATGAAATAAAAAAACAGTGAGAAAATAAAAAAAATATGGTTTCAACTGGAAATAGAAATAAACCTCTTTATTTCTCGCGAACAGCCCGTCACTGGCCCTCCAAAAAGAAACCAGTTAACAATCAGTAAAAAAGTAAACCTTGACTTGAGTGTCACATAAGTCTAAGCCAATCTCAAAGGTAGATGCCATGTTTTGATGTTCGGTCTAAATATTAAGGCCAACTGCATGTTTGGTCAAAAATCACACAGGTGTGAATTTTGGAGTGTACATGTTAACATTTCATTGAATGATGTCAAAAACATGTTAGGTCTAAATGTTAAGGCCAACTGCAGACTTGGTTCAAGGTCACAACATGTAAATAGGGTTAGGGCACATGATTTTTTGACACAATTTTGGGTTTGGGCTAGGGTCAGGACTAGGTCTTGGCTTAGGCCTAGGCTACATGCTTTTTGACAAGATTGTGGGTTAGGGTCAGTCTTGTTTACATCTCGTGACTTTAGACCAAATCTGCAGTTGAGTTGGCCTTAATATTTAGACCTAACCATGTTTTGATATTGTGAACAAAATGTTACACATTTACAACCCAAAATTCACACTCAACCAACGGATACCCCCAATCGTGGCTATTTTGATACCAAATAGTCAAAAAACATACTGCTGGGCAATAAAAAAGCAGTATTCTTACCATTTCTGACACTTTCCATTCAAAACTTCAGGAAATAAGCCGTTGAAAAAATATCAACATCCCGAGTCGGCCATGCTTCTTTATATCATCAGGACTAGCAATTATTTGCCCATTGACTTCAATGTTAAATGACTGTAACATCACAGGCTGTAGCTTTTTGCTCAACATTCCGTTGGTTCCAATCTTTATAGGCACAATGGGGACAACATTTGGCAATCTCCTCATCATAATTTTGTAGGGGGTTCACCGTTTAGATTTTTTGCTAAACGGATTTGAAGTTGACAGGGGTGAAAATCTCACTTCCGACACAATGATTGCTCTGCAGAAAGACACTTTACACACCCTATCCCTCCGCTGAAATATCATCAGTATTACCCAAAACTGCTATGAAATTGCAAATTTGATCCCTTTTCTCCAATTCTAGACCAAAAAGTCAACCCAAAAATGCAGGAAGAGGGGAGAAAAAAATTAAGGGAAAAATTGTCTATTTATAACTCGCACTACATTCGTCCATCATGAAATAAGGGGAAATAATTACTAGTCTTACTCCAGATATTATATTGCTACTCAGATTAATCATCTTGTTGGGCTTTGCAGTTTGTTTCTAAGACAAAAAAGAGTTTTAAAAGAAGTTAACAAAGATTTAAAAATGCATTAAAATAAAATCAGTTTATAAAATAAACAGCCAAACATCAGAATAAAATAATATTTTAGAGGTTGATTTTAAAATGTTTATTTAACGGTCTCGTGGCCTACTCAAAAGTCTTCTTCTACTATAATTATTTCTTCATCTTGGTGAGTTTAGTATTATAACACGCTGTCTACAAGTGCACGCGTTCCTGTAAAAAAAATCATTTGGGTATAATATGTCAGGAAACCACACGAATGTATCTTTATATATGTCTTTTAATGACCCTCTTGTCAAAATTTCACCGATTCTTCGAATATCGTCACTATTGAACAAATTCTAATTATTCTACGGTATATATCCACAGGTGACGATGTCACGGCGATGTCATTACCACCTAAATGAATAGACCCGGTCACCAGTTTCCTCCCCACATATGCATATGTTTATATTTATTTTTTCATGTCAACGATTAAGTTATTGCATATATACTTAATGGACGATGTTTATTTTAAAAAAATTTGCAAGAGATGGACAGAGAACAAGCTTTAAAAAAAATGCGTTTTTCGTACAATCAGGGGTCATAATACAGGCAGACACGGTCTGAAGTATTGACAGGAACTCGGAACTTTGGAATATGAATATTTAATCGGACAAGATAAAAAAAACCCTGCGATTTCTCGTACAATAGGGGGCCACAAGACAAGAAGTTAGGTCCGATATGCGCGAACATCAAACCGAGATCTTTAATACATAAACATATATATTAAGTTTTTTCAAAATCGGTTACAAATCGTAACCTCTAGAGGGACCACAACCTTCGATCCGATTATTACGGAATTCGAACTCAGGGTGTAACGGTTATATATGTAAACGGTTTTTAAAATCGGACATAAACTTTGATTTCTTGAGGGTCCACAAGCAAAAAAAAATGAAAATTTTTGGTACAACCAAGGGTCCATAATCCACGAGGTTACGGACCTATATGTGGACGGACAGGGGCGACTCAGTCGTTAATATGCGTCCACTTGAAAAGGTGGGCGTACAAAAATAGCACGCCATGATAAAACTTCGTTTTTGGAAGACTAAAAAACTGATTCCCGAGAAATGATATTGAAGACTTTATATAAAATGAGCTTTTTATTTTAGAAATTAAAATGTTGTCATTTGATCTCCGAATGGCCGGTTCATAGTTGTCAACGCTTATGTAATTTATAGCAGGGCAATAATGCTACTCAAGATGGATATGTTTTATAGATCAGCATACCAAGCAATTAAAATCAGTGAACCAGACCAAACCCAAACATAAAAAATTTAGCACTTTTTCCTAGTTAGTCCCAGCACTGTAATAAACACCTACATCAAGTTTGAACATTCTAGGTCAATTAGGGGAGTTATTGTGTCACCAAAAATGTGACGGTCAGTTGGACGGACGGACAGGCACATTTTAATAGTCCCCTATAAGGGCAATGGCACTCCAAAGAATTATACAGTGGACTCTGTCAAATTCGACATCATACGGGGTCGTTACAATATGTCGGATTACCAAGAGTGTCGGAATACTCAGCTTTATCAAAACCGGAAGTATTATTATAATGTAGCTTCGAATCCTCAGAACGTTATTTCCTTTAAATAGGTCAAATATGTCGTTAATTTATCTTCTTCGTCGTCTTCAGTTGATTGCACACTTCGTCGTGTTCATTGTATAACCGCGCGTGCCAAGAACGGTTCCGAGAAATAAAATGAAAGGAAATGAGATTAACACCCCGCGTACCAGGAATGGTTACGAGAAATAAATGAAAGGAAATGAGGTTTAAGGTCTTACTTCTCTGAACAAAGTGGGCTGATGGAGTTGGGCATACGTCATGAGGGGATTCACATAGAAAAAAAGACGGACGTCCCTTGTATGCATTGGTGTATAAGTAAACAAGCCAACAGTGAGGCTGATGTCCCCCGCTGAAATCCCGAAATAAATAGATGAAATATATTAATTAATTGCATGTTTATCTTTTTCAAAAGTATCCAGCAATCAAACTGATTATTAAGTATACATTAAGTTTCATCACTCTCTATCAGATAGAATCAAAATAAACAAGGCATTGACCTAATAAACACATACACCAAGTTTGAACATTCTAGCTCAATTAAAAGTTATCGTGTCCCCAAGCATCAACCAATCAAATTGCTTATCTCTGCTTACCCTAAGCGGAAAATGCTCATCTTCGAACTCCATCAAGGCATTGACCTAATCAACACATACACCAAGTTTGAACATTCTAGCCCAATTAGGAAGAGAGTTATCGTGTCCCAAAGCATCAACCAATCAAATTGCTTATCTCTGCTTACCCTAAGCGGAAAATGCTCATCTTCGAACTCCATCAAGGCATTGACCTAATAAACACATACACCAAGTTTGAACATTCTAGCTTAATTAGGAAGAGAGTTATTGTGTCCCAAAAAGTGTGACGGACAGACAGACGGACAGACAGACAGACGGACGAACCCATTTTAATAGTCCCCTGCTTTCTTCGAAAGGCGGGGGACAAAAAAAACACGATAGTTGGAATTTGATGAAGAGTACGATGAAACGCCGCTGCCCTGGCAACATTCCGCTCGTAGCACACTGCATGGCGTATGTACATTTTCTTTACTCTGGATGGTGCATTTGTTTCATTTGGCCGGGTTGTCTTTTCATTTCGGTTCTGAGAACGGTTTGCATCCGGACCACTCAAATGTTCGTGTTTAAGATTCGTTAATATTAGATATATTCTAGACAACACCCCCGTTCACTCTTGAGCAGACAATGCTTACACCAATGCTTGTTGCATAATCACTTCAGCCACTTCCAAATGAGTAGAGCTCATTTGGGGTTTTGTGGGGTATCCATACAATATGTGAGCATATAAAAACAGGAGAAAGATTAAGAGAAAGGATTAGCAACCCACATAAATCTTTAGAAAGATAAACGAATCAGCTTTAAAACAGTAGATAATATAAAAGCAGTATATTTCTGATCCTACCACAAGCACGATAACAAATAGCCATGCAACAAAATACTAGGGAAGGATTTTGGATACGCAGTGCATGTAATCAGAACAAACAATTATAATGAAAATAAAACAGTTTAATAGAAAATGACTGTTTATATATACATATAGTGTTATACAAAAATAGAGTTAAGGCTATTTCATATATTACACACAATAACAAAAATATAATTTAATAGTTAACTGTACACAATATGAAGTTTATCCCAGAACATGGAAATCTTGGACGGAATGCTGGAATAATCTTCAACTAAAAAGCGAAATTCAAGCAATCTTATTTATGTACCGTACATACTATCTGATTCACATTTTGAAAACTAAAACTATGATAAATTAACTTCTTGTCACAGCAATAGATTATGTTTATTTTAGTTTTAAGATGCATAATGTAAGATTAAGATATTAGCTAAAGAGTCGGCCGTTCTCGCTTTACCGGTTTTAAAATAGATAATGAAAATGAATACACTACAAATTTCAGTCAAATTACTTTTTTTCTGAGCGAAGTTAGGAGTGTTTGAAGTTTCAATTATCCATTTTAACGTTTAATTAACTTATTCTAATCCATTCAATATCACAATAATTCGCTTGTCTAGAATGTTGATTATTGGCTTAACATGTGAATAAATGCCTAATTCATACATGTAATTTATATAAAGCCAAAAAAAGACCTGCAATACGCAGATTTAGCCCTTGCTTAATGCATCTTGCGAAAACGACACGTAATGGCGATAGGTTGCTGTAGTTAAGACAGGGCACTGATTAATTCTTAGTTTAAGAAACGAACCGTTTTAATTGGTGTGATCCGACGATAGTTGTTCCGATTCCTCTTACGTTTCTTCCTCCGATCAGTCGTTTTGGAGGTCTATTGTTTGATTAAATCCTCAAGGAATATTCTATTGTACATCTTGCGGCATGTTGAGGAAGTCTATTTTAACATGGTAGTTACATTTAGCTAATATTTGGACGGAATGTGAATATGTTTTAACATACATGTGTAATATCTTGTAGCACCATGAGATATATCATTGTTATAAAATCTTTACACATGATGTCCGACCAATAAAATCAAGATGAAATACAATTTAAAACTAATGGAATTTGAAGATGAATGATCGTGGTAGTCATAATAATCGTATTCATCGCCATCTTTGTAGTTCGTAAATTCTACTTTAACCGTTGGTGTAGTTGTGAAGATGTAAATGTCTGCATTTGGATCAAATTTATCTCTGATGTCTTTTGGTTGATCATCTGAAACAAAGCGTACAATATAATTCATACAAATCATTCAGATAATCTGAAATCCCAAAACTGTTTAATTTTGAATTAAAATCTTATAAGGCCAATGAAAAGAGTTAGTTCTTTTCTTAAAAGTCTCTAACCGTCAGTTGAGAGATTTTTAATCCTTTGCAAAC